AAATTATCACTTTGCGTTGTCACTTTTAAAACTTATCTTACAAAGACTAACATTTAACTTTCTTTACTTGGCCGAGAAAACTAGGGATAGCAAACTAATAATAAATTAAAATATTTTTTACAAATAAAAAAATTAAAATTTTCACTTAAAACTTGTTTATTATGTGTTGTTTCAGTTCCTTGTATTTATTAATGAAATAAAAAAAAACATCATAATTGGAGACCACTAATGTATCGTAAAAATTTTTAACTCTGACCAGACAGAATTTACCTTATCAAAAGCTTTGAATCATAATTTGGCAGAATTTGTTATAGTAAAAACTTTTAAATCTTGTCTTTTCAAATTTCATAAGTGTTAAAATTTTGTGTCTTGATTTATTTGACAGAATCATGTAGTTTCTGTTTCAAGAATGACTGTTCTCCATATTTATTGAAATATGTCGCAGAATATAGGATTCCAGTAAGACTACGAAACTATAACCTTTTTTTTTTATTTTTAATAATTTTATCATCGACAGGGTTATTCATAACTCCCTCCGGGGTTTCGAAGCGTTCTAGTAAAAAAACGAAGACGAATATGACAAAAAAGAACATATGAAATTATTCCGAAAGTATTCAAGTTTAAATTTAAGTAGTTGCCGGTAGATGGCAGTAACATGTACCACTGAAGCCAGTTGTAGTAAAGAAAAATGGCGTTAACAGGCGGAGGAATATTAAAACTTGAATATTCCAAAAGTATTCAAGTTTTAATTTAAGTAGTTGCCGGTAGATGGCAGTAACATGTACCACTGAAGCCAGTTGTAGTAAAGAAAAATGGCGTTAACAGGCGGAGGGAATTATGATTAACCCTGTATATCGTAAAAGATAGGGCGAATTAAATTTCGGTCTGACGTGTTGAACTTTTAAAACCTTTTATATTGTGTTAAAAGCATATTTGTATAATTTGATAATTAAATAAAATGAAACTATATGCTGTCGCGGAAGATTACTTAAATCCTATATCGCAATGGTCTTTTCTTACTTTGCCACGGAGTATAAGGATGTCATTTATAAATTGGCAGAACACTGTCTTGTGTAAAGGATATTGCATGCAAACTGGCAAAATTCTGTCACATGTAAACTTCTTGTGCAATATTATGGAATGCAAGTTGTAACTGAAAAAGTAGTTTTAAAAATGAAATTTGATTTCGATTGTTGCGTTTATAAAAACAATTATTTAATGTGTTTATATTGTGGTATTTAATACATCAATTATGAATTGTATGCTAAATAAGATGCAAATTGTTAGTTTAGTACTTATTATTTCATTATTGATACTTAAAAGTACTTTATTAAGCGACAATATTTTAAATGTTTAAAAAATAAATTAGTGCCAAAAGATAACTCGACATGATGTGCTAGATTTTCAGCGATGCTGCATTTTTTAATCTTTATTTGTTTATATTAATGAGACTTTCATATATGTCAATTAAGAACTATCTTCCCACTTCTAAATATTTTTCACAGAAGTATCACAACAAAATCACGTGATCTTTTAACCCTTTGTAACTCAACAACTCTGATTTAAGAAATATTTACGCGGATGTTAGAATACATCATATTAAGCGAGTAAAAAATAATGAAAAAATTAAGACCTTGAAATTAAAAATTTATTGATAAAAAGCATTTGTTGAACATCTCCAATATCGTGAAAAATAGCACAAAAATTCCGATATATTTAAAACTTCATATGAAAAATTTTGAAATTGTTGTTTTTATGGTAACAAGGTCTCACACCACATTTTTCAATCCCTCCTTAGCCAAATATACAATCAAGGGGATTGTTGTAAAAAAATTGTATATCCTGCAATCCTGTCGTGGAGCAATTCTTGCTAAACGCATTTTAATATTGGCAGCTGCAGCAAAACTTGGTTCCCCCGAGTTTGCAATATTTTCTTTACCTGAATTTAGTTCGATTTTATAGGTCAATCCAGCTCATTATAGGATTGAATTTTCATGTATGTTGCAGATGTGTAACGCGGTGATACAAAGGGTTCAGAGTGACTTGGTGGTTTCGGGAGATAGAACCTTCCAATTAGGTGAACTTGGTTCGAATCCCAGCGATTGCTGGTCTACAAGAATCCCGTACCCGACTAACACCAATCACTGTCCTGACGTTAAATATCCTCAGTGGTAGATGGATCATAGGCTAGATCCCTTGCAGTGAGACTAACCGTGGGAGGTTTTCGTGTTTTTTTTTATCACCATTTAAAGCAAATGCGGGTTAGTTTCATTAAAAAAAAATTTTTTTTACTTTATAAAGCACGAAAACATGCGAAGGCGGGAAACGCAGTATTAAAAATGCGTAGTTAATTTTATTTAACATAATATTGTAAGAACTTTTCTTGTGACAATATTAAAGTATTCCTAATTTTCCAGCCGTAGTTGAATAATCTAACGATAACTTATTAGGAGAAATCTTTTCTGATTTGTTTTGTTACG